GTCGCAATCCGCTTACTCCAAGAGTAATTATTGCCTTCCCACGGCTAATTGACTCTTCGGTTTAAACTCAAAACTGACTTTTATTTATTTTTTTATTTTAAATTTAAAAGTTTATATTTTTCTAAATATACTCAGTATATATAGTAAAATATGAATACATACATAACTACTGGCTACCTAGCCCCGTACCGTATTCTTGGTTGGGTGTGGTCACACCATGCACATCTCGTGTGACACACACCAGTCATCAAGGTTCGTGTAACCGTCGTTACAGTCTCCATGCATTGTGGGAATTGGTAGAAAGAATATTACAGTATGGTGCTCCTTAATGCCTACTTGGCATATAATATGAAGTCACAACCATTCTATGTGGTAAATAATGTTCGTCCTACTTGGGGATGCGTACTGGTGACGAGATCGACGTGTATCTGTCTTTAAATTTGGGTGGAGTAAGCTAGTCACTGCTACTGGATACCTTCTATGAAAGTTAAATTTTAGCTTTTGAAGTAGGTAGTGAAGGTCACTCCCCTCTACTGATTTTTTTGCACGAAAAGCTCCGTACACCCAAGACCTTGTATCAGTTGAAGCTGAGGTTTAACCTTGATATATGTTTTTAGTTTATAAATCAGGAGCCCAAGGTTTAATCGGCAAAATCTCTAAGAGCCCTTGGGGTGTCAAGAAGTCATTTTAATTTTGTTGCAAAATTGTCTTTAAGGTATCAAGTCATTCTTCGTCCCTCCAAGTCGGAACCGTTTTCCTCCATCCACGTAGTGAATCGTTTCCTCGTCGCACAAGTGTGTGTGTTGTGTTGGAAGGACTGTTTGTGAATAGCGCCCTGTTACATATCCGATCTGCTTGGCAAATTAGTGCTGCATATGTCGGAAGCATACAAAATTGAGTCGAAAAATTTATTTGTAATGTGTACTTCATTGATTAAACACCTCATTATGAGTACTACAACAATTGTATGTCGGCACAGTTTTAACAATGATGATGTAAAGTGCGTAGACCTTCCTTCAGTTTAAATTTCTTACGTCAAGTGCGCTGTGCGAAAGTATTCGGATAAAAATAAAGCTCTCGATAATCGAATCAGACAGTCATCATATATTTAATGCAGCGGGTCTGGCCTTCATACTGCAAAATACGTGCAAAAAACATGCATATATTTCTAAATCAATGCTTTTGAATGAGCGCGGCGTAACTTGGCGTCAAAAATCGGTTCACTTGCGAAGTTATTACTACCGCATCAGATCGCAAAACCAGCCTAAAATGAAGTAACGAGATTTTTCACATCTTTTGACTGATAACCTCTCCAAGAATTCTGGCCTGACAATATATAGATGCTACTTAAAAACTCAAGATCCTTTCCCCTCGATGCATCCATCTTTTGCCAGGTCATAAAGGTCATAACGGAACCTTTGACACTTTTCCACAAATAATTTTCAGACCGACAATTAGACGTACTTTTTAAATGACAAACTGATTCCAGCAGCGGAGATCGCTCCGTGTACCAGATAATTCCAAGTTTTATATGGTACCACAACAAACAATAGAATCCTTTTTACAATAAACCTTAGCATGCAGGTTTTTGAGCAAACGAATTATGTAGATCGTTATCTCTTAGATGTGTTGTCGCCAACTATAAATCGTATTTTTCATGTTCACAAGCCAAATGCGCTTTTTAATGTTTTCTGATGCAGTGATATGATTTCTTCTGTTTCCACTCAGAAATTCCTAGCTTAATGCCCAGGTATGTGCTCATGTTCGAACAAATAAATGGCAGTGCTGACCATCGTTTGATAGTCAACTTGAGCTAGTTTTCGCCACTTCGGGTGCTGCCACCATCATCTTCCAAAATTTGCTGGTCTAACTCATTTATAATTCGGCGGTTTTCAATATTTCTCAGCTTCTCGCGCAGGTCCTCCGACGTGTAGCGTTTGTTAAGTGTTCGGTACTTTCTTAGCTTAATAACGCCAACCAACTCGCGAAGTACAAATCGACCGCGCTTAATGGCCTTCTTGACTGCCAAAGAGTCTGCGAGATTGCGATTTTGAAAAAATGCAGCTTTAGTTTTGTCGCGCACGCGGTTTAAGCCAAGAGGGTAGTCGCGCCCTACGAGCAAGAAGCGCTTGTACAAGTCACGCACCTTGGAGTCGATCATCACTGTATAATAAAAAGTTTTTCGGCCAATCAAGGTACATGCCAACGACTCCCTTTGTTAATAACAGTGCAAAACGTATGAGCTTCGATACAACCGAGGTGGATCGCCAGGTGCCCGAGGTGGACCGCGGGATTGTACCAGATGCATCCACGGCACTGCTTACAGTTAAGATTGGGGATGTCTCGCGTACATCCCGCAAACATTTGACCGTCACAACTTTTGGATTTTTAGTGTCTGAGGGCCTGGACGTATTTCGTGCTAAGGTGGACTCGTGTACTAACAAGGCACTGGAAAATGTCCATGGTCACCCGTACGTTCGGGAGGACATGGGCCTGTACATGCGACCAGGCGCTCACTCAAAGCAGGCAGAGTTGGTTCAGATCACGTTCAGCAACTTTGAGAGTCGTGTAGCCAGAAGCTATAAAAACTATCTTAAGCGTAAGACGGAGGATTCGTTTCGCTGCGAGGTTTATGTGTACGTTAAGAAGATTGAACCATTGCGACGCCGGCGAATGAAGGATATACTAGAGAGCAAGAATGCATCGGATTTGCTTAGGGACTTTACGCAAAGTCAAGGGATGAGCTCAAACGGTGAGCCTTCGGGAACTTTGAAGCGAAAGCATTCCATAGGCTCTGAAGAAGATGAACGTTGTCATTCTCTACAGGATGTAGCATTCTACCACACAGTGCGAATGATTGTAAACGGAGTTATTGTACCTGTACAAGTTAACGTGCAGGATCTACTTGCGTGCTTCGGATCATTTCAGCAGCAGACACTCGGTCCTGGTACCAGCGTGGAAGCTCATGAAAGTGATGATATTGGTGCAGAAGGAAGCAATTTTCATGAGTGATATAGATATTGCAACCACGTTTGCAAAATTGGATGTAATGTTAGTTTATGAGCCGGGAGAACATGTCATGGGACACAAAAAGCTGTCGGCATCATTCTATCGTATATATTAGGCGGGTGTCGCCCTAGCGCTTGCTTTTCTACAAATGTACTACTTACTACTGCTGCTACTTCGCCGATACTGTTCACTTGTTTTCCTTTTCTTTGTACTCGCGCAGTATTCAATGTGGGCATTTTCCACCATAGTCATGCGCTTAACTTCAACTTCATCGTTTCCAAAAGGGCTTAATATCTCGCTTCAAATGACAAACGGGAGGTGCGGACGGGCGCGCGAGCCAATCACGGCAATCAAAATCATTCCATGCAATTAGGATACAGCCTTGAATGGTGTCAAGTATATCACAGTCCAAAACTTTAAAAATGCAAAGCAAATCAGCAAAAAAGACAACGGGCAAACGTTCCAAGTGACACACAATGCGCGTAATCGGTAACGCACGTTGCCCGTCTCTTAAAATTCTGACGGTGGCAGACCCGATGCATCAAAACTACTCCAAGACGATCCAGAATCTCGTCGCGGTGGTGGACGCACACCAGATGTCGACCTTTTTTCTTCCATATTCTTCAGATAGCGAAACTGACCAGGAGATGGCATATAAGGGTTTTGCTGCTGTTGAACAATGTCATATTGCTGATGTTGGTACCCATACTGGCCACTAGACCCACGTGGTGGATGCTGCATCTGAAGTTGGTGATGTTGAGACACAAAATTTTGTTGCGGCGGGGCTGGAGGGGGCTGTGGCGGGTACGGGTCGTGTGGCTGCTGCGAAATCACCAAGGAATGATGATGCTGATGATACTGCTGCTGGTATTGATGTTGCAATTGCAGTTGCTTCTCTATTAAGGGTGGAGGTGGTAAAGGCGAAGTCGAGTACTCGCCATTATACCCAGAAGCCGCTGCAGTAACCATATGTGCGGTATTGCTCTCCACTGTGCGCAAGTCGTTTTGTCCGTGTGCAAATCTGCACTCGTCTTTCGAGTAGTTGCAATTGCCCTTCAAAAAGTAATAACACAACTCAGTCTTGTAACTTTGCAGTCTTGGGGTTGTCGTTTGCAAAGTCGATTGGTTCCCAGAACTGCTGGGAGCTGGACCACTATCGCGCAGATCATTGACACCATGAGCCATGGGGCAATCGCGACGAGATTTTATACATAAACCAGTCTCGTATGCTTGACAAAGTCGAGTCTTGTAGTTTGGACCATGTTTACTACTACCGCCTGTGTTACTCGAGCTGCTAGAGCGCACTAAATCACCTTCTCCATGAGCAAACGAGCACGTACGTCGCGTCTTATTACATTTCCCTTGCATATAGTACATGCAAATCTCTGTCTTCCAGTTACTGGAAGTACCTGGTGGAGGTCCACTCGGTCCACTTTGACTGCTGCTACGATGCAAGCTTGTCTTGCTGTGCCCCATCATGGTTGAGTGAGACGGCGATAATGAAATCATCGAGGCCATACTGCCACCACTTTCTACTCTACCTCCATGCTCAATGACTGGATTAAAACTTGGATGCGTGTGTAAAATGTGGTCGATGGCTGCGGATTCTTGTCCATTGAATCGGCGCAAGATTGATTCTAATTCTTCAGCTGAAATGCCATCAAAAAGTTCCGATAACACAGAAAGTTGAATGGGTGATACTGCTAAGTTTCTTTCACCTTCAGCTTGGGTTGTCTCTGTTCGCCCGTCTCCAAGTTCGAATCTTCCTGCCTCAATACTCGAGCCAGATATGTGCTCAGCGAATGATGATGTAGCAAGTGACAGCGGTTCCATATCGCCCTTGAATTTAGGAAGAGGTGGTGCCTTTTCTTCGCTCAAAATGGTTCCAGCAAACGATCGAGCGTGCTTAGGCGTGATTTGAGGTGAATCTAGTAATGATGAAGGCAGATACTGACCCAGCAGCGCGTTGCGAAGAGTCTGCGTACTCGAAGACGGCGATGGAGGCTCGTCATCATCACAATTTTGACCACCATCACCTCTGGAAGGAAAAAAGTTAAATGCCATGAGACTAGATCCAGTTGAAGCTTGACCGGATGCACCGGATCCACCCGCACCGCTAATGGCGCCAGTCATGGGTTTGTTCGGCGAGCTCCACAGGTTGTCACGTTGTTCCTGTAAAGACGGGGAGGGTGGAGAGCGGCCACCACCCGATCCCGAGTCATCTCCGCTGTGTCTACGTCGCAGTTCTTTTATTTTAGTTTCAGCGTCAAGAAGCGCCAGACGTTCGCCGACAAGCTCGCGTTTAAGCTTGGTCGATAGAGAACGAAAGAGCGCTATGCGCTGTATTGCCAGTCTTTGCTCGTCACGCAATTCATCCACAACTTGTTGCAGCTCATGCACTTGCAACCGCGACAATTGAAGCTCGCGTAAGATACGATGCATGTCGTTACTGAGCTCACTGTCGTCGCTGTGCTCCTTTCCGTGCAGCTGCTCGCTGGCTATTGCACCTACGGCCCCGCCTTTCTCCATCTAAAGAGACATAGCCAGTGTTCAGAGACAGCAGATCACAAAAGTCAGTCATATAGAAGGAAGTGCAAAAAGCGCTGGCATTAGCACCAATCGCGCTGATTGAGTTAACGTTTAACATGGCTAACTTTGTTGGTCCGCCATTAGTAATTGCCAAGGTATGTAGCGCTAGTACATGCAAAGTAGACTTACCCAAGCAATTTTGCCCGTTTCGACACCATACTCACGTCCAATGTCCGATACAACCTGAACGCAACAATCGTCACACCATGCACGACAGGTTGCACAAACAAATAAATCGTCAGTGATTTGAGTCACGGCTGAGCACTATTACAATTATAAAAGGGGTCGCGAAGAAATCAACAAGCATCGGATGCAGTACAGAGGTCACCCAACTGCTGTTGATTAATCCATGCAGATGCGCATACTCAGTTTGCGTTAACTCACCTGAACAAGAGATGACTGGAAGGCCTGGCTGATTTCTAAGGCCATGCGACCAAGCAATTCGCCCGTTTCAGGTGGCGTCGTCTGCTGTTCAATGGAAGCAAGCGTTACTGCAGCGGCGGCTTCGCCTTCAGACATAGAGTCAGCAGGTGCCGGTTCATACTGAGGCTCGACTGGCAAGTCTGATGCGGCTGTCATGTCAACTTTTGGTGCTACTGACGTACTTGACTACCAAAAGTAAGCTAGGAAATTGGCGGACGAGTTTGCCTGAGCGCTGGCTGCGCGGGCTGCAAATGCGCGAGCCTGGCCTGGCAAATGCAGCGACGGTAAAGAGTCAAGTGCCTCGCTTGGTGAGAAGAGGAAGCCACTTGGGTCAGGACACGACGACGACGGACGTTCGCTTTTTTGCTCAAGGCTTTGAGTCCTGGGCGGAGCAGTGTTAGCAGGTGGCTCTTCTGCTTTTTCCGAGATGCGCGTCGGTTGAGCGAAACGGGACAAGGCTGGCTGGCAGAGGGCGAGTAGCACGAAAAAAGAGTGTGTCGCTCTATAAATCTGGGCAGAGCCACGCGACCATGCTATACAGTATCTAGTTCAACTGCGCGTAATACGTTGCATCCTCGCTGTTAATTTTTCAGGTTCTATCTCATGGCAGAAGCCAAACAGAGATCGGGTCTGGCAGGGCTTGCAGTCTCGGAGGGAGCAGCTACGTACTACACTGCTTAGTGCGGTGCCGTATGGCTACATGTTTATCAATTCTTAACGGGTTATCAGGACGAATTTTTGGAGGGGGGACCAAAATACCAGATCCCCACCAGCAGCCGGTCAGCCAATCAATATAATATTCCCACCATTTTTTTGGCGAAATTTTAAAACTTGCATAACGCGTCGTGCTACGCTAATCGACTTTGTGTTAGCGCCAAAGTCTGCTAGTCTAGGTTACAGCGCGAAAGCACGTGGCACATGGGCAAAATTGCCATTAATCTTGCTATTAACCATGTCGCCATGGTTTTCCAAGGACTTCGGCAGAATGTTTTGAGCAGCCCTGCTCGGGGGTTGCGGGAGAAGGCGATTCGGGTTGATATCCAGATGGCGAAGGTGCCGGTTATGATTTGGCGATTGCGTCGCTGTGCGAAATAGGAGTCAAAACGCTCATTGTAAAATGTTTCTTGCCGCATATTTTGGAACGCATAGTACGAATTGAAAGACGTGAGAAAGAGGTCTTGTACGTGGGGTTTTGCCTTTCGCTTCTTCAGGATTTGCGCTATTGTAACACAGTTCTTGATATCAGAGTGTTGGTCGTTGAAGTATAAGAACATTAAGAGTTCCAAGCTATCGATACTGTAATCAAAAAATTATGATAGCAGTTTTTTACAGAGAATTTCCTAAATTAGCTGAGCCGCTCTTATCGCACTAATTACAGTACGATCTTGCATTACGACTAGTGGGGAGATAACGAAACGCCTTCCAGCTGCATCTAAATTTTAGAATGGTGAAAAGAGGCAGGAACCCCCGGATATGTAGGATAAGTAAGTTTATGAAATGTTGCATTCCATTATCTTAAATGTCTAAGGTATCAGAAGCTCATAAATACAACTCCAGCATGATTATCCATCGAAAAATGCGACAGCACCTTAAAGAAAATTCAGACTAACGGAAGCTCACAATACTCACACTTTAATTTGGTAAGGCCTGTACTCAAAATAGAAGGTATGTTAGTAACTGGTGTCCTTCGGACTTACAGCGATTATATAAGGTACTGGGTTTACATTACTTCCATAATCTAGTACATGACCCGATTTTATAGGAATAAGACTCCAAAATGCGATGCAAGCCTCATGCAGTATATTATGGATTAGGAATCTTACTTGGTGAAGTAAGTTGCGTGTAATTCAGTTTATCGCTTCTTGACTTGAGCAAAATCGTTTACTTGGTACTATGCGGACCTTAATTTTCGTTTTTAGGGCAGCTTTTGATCTCATCCTATGTGCATTATGTACGCTGACTGCATCACAGCCGCTGTGCATCTGGCGCAGAAGAAGCTTTGACTCAAAGAGTGCGCGTTAACAAAGGCACAAAGTACAAACCCGTCCAATCTACCCCCTAACGGGTTATACACTTTTCGAGAGTGTTTATACATCTTACACAATTAATATTGTACAACATAGCGAAATACATGTTACACTTATTATACTATGGTGAGTAACTAAAAAACCGAGCATACGAATATGTTAGGACTCCGTAAATGAGAACTTCGTGGTACGCGTGAGCTGTCGACCACGGTACAAACAAGAGCAATAAATTTACTAATTGCTGTAGTAGTTTTGTAGCGGACCACGTGGATGAAGCGGTAGTTTACACGCACAAAGATGTGAATTACACAAATTGGTGTAACCACACAATGCTGTCGCTTCACCATGACAAGAAGCCGCTACGTTATGCATATTAATTAGATTTGACTATCTAATCAGAAAAACCTAAGATTTTGAATGTAGGCGGCTCTGCCGCAAATAAAACAATTAAATACAGCTTTTAAAATAGAAATTTATCTATCTTGGTTAAGGTTTGGGTACTCTTGGAGGTAGCGGATTGCGATCCGCTACACTCGTACTGGTTCTGGTGAAGAATGTAAGGTTGGTGACCTTAGTAAGCTTCCTCTCAGCAGAGCTACGGCAGCTCCGCTGCCCTTGGTAGCACTCGTAGTCAATCAACGCCTGAGTCGTTACGACTGATTTTCTATTTGGATGGAGCAATTATCCTATTGCCTCAGAGCATGCAGGTTGGGATTAATAAGCCGATGTCCCTGCTAGGCCCTGAAGGCGTACAACACTTTGCTTTGTAAGGACCTGAGGCGAGAGGCACACGTCTAGAGGCGTTTTCAAACTATAAAAATGCTCTATTAGAGAGCATACAGTAGAAGGTGTCAGCGTCGACTGCGTCCATGACGCCACCGTCGACGGATGACTCCTCCCAATACAGGCTGCTCATGGTGAGCGTTACGACCTTCGAGGGTAAGGATGGAAAAAAATCTTATGCTCTGGTGAGAGAGGCCGAGATGGCTATGGCACCGCCATGCTCCAGAACGATAAACAGTGCGTGGCACTGGCAATTTCAAGATCGAAGGCCGAGCGCGAGAATGGGCACTTACGTCGGGACTTCGGTTGAAGCGGCGTCTCTCCTTTTGGAATAAGCTGAAGCTGCATCTTTTGCGAGTGTACTCGCCGCCCAACCAGGCACATCGCGTGTGATCGCGTTTTCTTGCCGCCCGACAGGGCAAGGCAGAATTGGTGGACTTTGTCCCAAAGCTGCGAACTCTCATTGCCAGGATGGCAGCCAATCCTCTCCCCGAGGCGGTCTCCGTTGTCCTCTTTATTGAGGTCCTTTGCACTGGCGTGGCTAGAATACGTGTGCATATGTCTTCTTTGAACGAAGCGGTGAATGTGGTATTGAATGTCAAATTTAATTTTAAGTCGGCACGCCTTGGTTGGGATGCACACCCTCAAAGTTCGTCGCGCTGGCTTGAGCCAATCAATCTCAGCTATGCTGAGAAACATGAGAAAAGCTCCAAGCTACCCCGCAGCGTTCAAACACCCTACGGTGTTTTGTGTGCGGAGACACCCGTCACCTTCGGACTGGCTGTCTCCTGTGCAAGGCGCGTAAAGGCTCATCAACCGAGACCTTGCTTCAAACCAGTCTGATTTGTGGAAAACGACAAAGCACTGTAGGCGCGGGGCAGCAGGGCCTTACCCCGAAGATCTCTACGCCTTGAAAATGGAACGTGCATACAAGCCGGGCTTGCTAGTCGTAAAAGCGACCGTGAAGGGCACTGAGAAGCCTGGAAGAATATGATTAATTGTTGGGCAATAATGCTCGACGCTCCACGATCGAATAAGTCAGCTGCATGCTGAGGCTTTGGAAGCCCGGTCGAGTGACATCGTCTCTGATCGCTTGGCGACGGGGACTGGTGTCACTGTGCCGAGGGTCCCTGTGAACCTCAGTGTCAAGTTCCTTGCCTTTGATAGCGTGGAACGCTGCGTAGGATTAGACTTGAGTTCGAGGTATGACCTTATCCTGGGTATGGCAAGGTTGGAACACCATGAGCCATGGATCGATTGGAGGTCGAAGACCTTGGGTGCTACGTGCACATCTACTAGTGGAGCTTGGGTGAGCCATGAGCCCACCTCTGCTAGGAAGCAGTAGCGTTCCTAACGCGGGCACTGGACCGGGACGGTCAATGCGCTGGATATCGGAGTATCCGAGTTATCAAACAACGAAGGTGTATAGGACAAAAGCCACGAGAATGGCTCGCGGGTTGAACGTGGAGTGGCATGTAACCCACTAAGCGCTGCTCACGTTACAAAGCAGCTGCTGCATGTCTAGAGTGGCATGCGATGCAATTAGAACAAGAGCCCAATGTTGCACTTGAAGTGACACGTTATTCACTGGACAAAGACTGCGGAGCTAGCAGCTCTTCGGTGGATGTTGCAAATACCATCAGCGCTCCGGTGGAGCAGGAAATGGGGCTAACACTGGACGACGCTGAGTATGTGTTCCCACTGGTCTCACCGAAACGTACAACCTCTTCGGAGAGGCGACGGCGATGCCGTATGCTAGCTTCAAGACGCGAGGTGTCGACCCTGACCCAGGGTATGTCTACCGTAGACGATAGCGCACAGCAAAACAACCTCGTCAACGGTATGACGGGAAAGAATGATGGCGACGACATCCTCGAGGCTATTCCCACGGTATACTTTTCTCGAGCTGGTCTGGGTGTCCCTCAAAGCTTTTGGCGGTGTCTTGAAGGCAGGCGAATTAGCCGAGGTGATCATTATACGACCGAACAAGGAGATACTTCTTCGTTGCCTCTGGATGAATCTGTCCTGGAGGACACCAAGAGGATACTGAACACACGAAGTGGATCGCCGATCCTGAAGGATTCCTCGGATCCGTACTATACTTAGGAATTTCAAGACGTCGTTTCCAAAGACCCGCCGTCGGTTCTACCTCCGGACTGAGATGTGCGTCATAAGATCGACCCGGTTCCGGGAACCAAATACTGCGTAATACGCCAATGACCCCTGCACAAGTGCGAAGCACGAGGCAGGAATGATGCGTGAGAGCAGGTCGCCCAATTTGACAGCCAAATTTCGAGTCCTGAAGCCGAATGGCAAAAGCGTATCATCCACGCTTACATATGCTAA